AGGGGTCCAAAGAGTTCCTAGAACTAAACTGGGATAAAACTTGGGGAGCCCTATGAAAAAAGGTCCTTTGGGGTGGTTACAGTATATCTATGCAGTTAGGGATTATGACCTATCACAGTCAAAGCCTCAAGCCCTGAACCCTAAACTCGAAATCCTAAACCATATGGCTTTACATGGGCCTCTGGGTGTGGGGGCTGTATAGCTTAATATCACCCGAAACAACCCCCTAGAAGTCCTCTAAAAGGAAACCCCAAAACGCTGCTCCCATGATTCTACATTTTGTATTGCGCTAATATTCCTAAACCCCTATACACAAACCCTATTATTTATCCTGTACGGACCTACATAGCCCCTATCATCCATCCCTATAACCCCTTTTTGAATTTTAAGGGGAACCCTATTCCCATGACCCTAAACCCTTAACCCTTAACCCTAAACCCTATTCCTATGAGTTTGTCGTGGCCTGGGACTCCTTCAGACCGCGCCGGCCCGCGAGGGAGACAATCCCGGGCAGCAAGGCCAAGATAAAAGGAAGCCGCCAGCCCCAGTCCAACATTTGCTCCTGTATAAACCCTATTATACAAGGCTAATATATATATATATGTATTATTGGGGTTATATAGGGTAATGGAAAAGAAAATGGAAACTACTATAATCCTAGGGTTTGGGAGAGGGTTTAGGGTCTGGGGGAGGTTTGGGGTTTTGGGGACGGTTTGGGTTTTGGGTTTGGGGGAAGGTTTAGGGTTTAGGGGTTGGGGAAGGTTTAGGGTTTAGGGGTTGGAAGTTAGGGCCTACGGGTGTACTGTTGAGGGCTTAGGGTCGGCTTTGAGTTTGGGTTTAGGAATTGTTCCGGTGTGACTCTGAGACCTCCTCAGAGACCCACAGAAACCCAAACCAAAAGAGACACTGAAACGGGGCAACATACTCATCTAGCACATGAATTGGGTGCCTTCTCGGTTAGGGAGCCCTACAGGATAGTAGGCCCCTTACACCACTCCCCCTGAACCTTAGTTTCTAAAACACTACCCGGCCATCCTCCCTGCCCAGAAGACACCCCAAGATCAACCCAACCTAGGGCTTGTTCATGCCTTGCTTGGGACCCTACACCCCAAAACCCTAGACCCTAAATGCCCTACTTCCAATCCCTAGATTCCAGATCCTAAGCCCGAAGCGATGTATAAGATCTTTTCTCTCATCATAAACCCTTGCCCTCACAATAACGGTGCAATGATCTAATGCGAGGAATATTGTTATCAGGGGACCCCAAAACCTGAACCCTAGACCCTAGACCCTCGACCCTAAAGCTTGACCCTAAACCCTCGACCCTGAATCCTAGTCCCTAAACCTGAATTGATGTTCATGTCCTCCCCCAGGCCAAGCTCCAAAGACCATACCACAGCCCTAGCGAGCAGAAAGCCTGCGCCAAAAGACCGCGTATGATATGAGCCATAATCTAAACTCCTTAAAGGGGGTTATTCAGGGGATTCAAGGGGACTAGTATGGGGATTATGAAGGGGGATACTGGGAGTTTAGACTATAGCTCATATGCATTGAGGGGTTCCGTAAACTCGGGTACCTTCAATAGGGGTTTCATAGGATCATATATGCTTTAGGGCTTAGGGTTTCCCAAAATTAGGGTCTCTATGACAAAAAATTGCATTATTTTGGTGGTTTATGGGAGCTTCGGGTCCCCTAAGTTGGGAAGCGACCGTATTGGGCTTCGGCCTTGGGGATTTAGATTTAGGAATGAGGCTTGAGGGCTTGCTTGGGGAGATGCATGGTTCACTGTTTAGGGTTTAGGATTTAGGATCTAGGGTTCAGGCTTCTATAGTAGTTTCCATTTTATTTTCCATTATCCCAATCTAACCCCAATATACTATACTAGTTTCCATTTATTTTCCAGTATCCCAATACAACCCCAACACAGGGTTTAGGTTTCAGGGTGTGGGTCTAAGGTTCCCAGCTTCGGTTTTCACTACTTGGTGGTCAATCAGAAATTGAATCGCTCCAGTAATTCCAAATAGCACACTCCCCCGGTTTGTACTGAACACCGAGAATGCATGCTATCTGCAGTCATCAGAATTGAGACGGCGCGTCATCAACTTCATTTACAAAACTTAAGCCCTAAAGTCTAAACCCTACACCTGCAACCCTGCAGCCTAAACTCTAAATCTTAAACCATATGGCTTTGTGTGGGCCTCTGGGTGTGGGGGCTGTATAGCTTAATATCACCCGAAACAACCCCTTAGAAGTCCTCTAAAGGGAAACCCCAAAACGCTGTTCCAATGATTCTACATTTTGTATAGGGCTAACATTCCTAGACCCCTATGTACTATACAAACCCAAATAACCCCATCATCCATCCCTATAACCTATAACTCTAACCCTTAAACACTGAACATTACGCCCTGAACAAACACAGGGCCTACACGACGGGACGGTTCAGCTCAGAATCCTAGTTCTTCTGCGCATCTAAAGTTTGCGGCTTATGGCTTGGGGTTTGAGGCTTAGGATTCAGGGCTTCGGATTTAGCATTCAAGGTTTAAGGGTCAGGATTTCAACTCGAGGCTCAGGACCTGGGGCGAACCGCCTGAATGGGAAATGAGCACTTGAACCCCAAACATAATGAACAACCACTTGTATTTGAAGGCTTCGCACTCAAGCTTACTGAAGGAGGTTCTTTTTCTGGCAGCACCAAAGCCTCCCAAGAAGCACAGCTGCTGAACATCTAGCCCCTAAACAGCCCCAAAACTCTAACCCTTAAGCCCTAAACCCTAAGCCCTCATCCCTATTCCTATCTAACCCCCAATGGTAACCCTAAACCCTAAACCTCAGGCCTTGGGTGATGGTGATGGAGATCAAGGAAACGCAACGACCCATAGAGTCGCGGCCTGCCACCTCCACCTAAGCCCGCAGTCGTTATTTTGGGGCTGTGTAGATTACATAGGTATATGAATATATATATATATATACGGATTATATAGGGGTATCTAAGGGTTATATTGGGGTTATATTGGGATGACGGAAAAGAATATGGAAACACAAATTTAAGATTTAGGGTTTAGGGTTTAGGACTATCCCCGAAGGTTTGGGGCTTGGGGCTTGGGGCTTAGGGGGACAGGGACCACGAATCGCAAGATGTTCAAAATCCTAAAGCCTTGGAATCTTAGAAGCTTTACTAATTCCTGTAGCTATAAAATGCAGGATTTTCCAAGATATGTTCATAATGTGTAATAATTTGTCTACCAAAGATGATTATAGGCTGTAAAGATTCTGCCATAGGCTGTAATCCTATCATTTTCCAGGATGTTGTGGTCGTTCCTGTCCCTCCTTTCATTTAGTGAAGTGAATTTAATGTATTTGAGACGATAAAAGTCCATTTGTGGACTCGTGGCTCTTTCATTTCATTCCCTCTCTTCGCTTACTTCGTTCGCTTCGTTCTCTAATGAAATGAAATGAACGAGTTTGTGAGTTTATTACGTGAAGAAGTGAACGAAAGGAATAAAGTGAGTGCGTTTATTTCTCTTTCTTCACTCACTTTATGAACGTAGTAAACGAATCATGAACACAGGAGCGAGAAATGATTGTAAGCGCCCGTTTTACGATTTGGGGAGTTTAAGGTTTAAGGTTTGGGGTTCAGGGCTTAGGGGAATAGATTGGGAACTCTGCAGTAGAGAACCCCAAGCGCTTTGTCACTGTAACTGGGTTGCCTACACAACGATACCTACAGGCCATCCGCTATTGCGGTCGCCGCTGCAGGGTTTGCTTTGACAGTGTTTGGGTTTACGGTTTAGGGTTTAGGGTTTAGGGTTTAGGGTTTAGGGTTTAGGGTTTAGGGTTTAGGGTTTAGGGTTTAGGGTGGGGGGGGGTGCAGGGTGACCAAGTCGACTTATGAACAAG